GAAGACATCAAAATGTGGTAAGAACATCAGTGACACACTCGGCTATCGCCTCGTGTGCCACTTTTTTGTTCTTACCACATTTTGATGTCATCTGTGATATATTACTGAACAGACGCATGGCAACATGGAATCTATTTGTTAAACGTGGGACATGTATATGGGATATGTCATGACATTATGCACACAGTTGATTTGATTATTGATTAATGAAACTCAATAGCTACCAAATGGAATGTAAACTAATTGCAATGATTGGGAAGAATGGATAAGTTCAAGTGAAAGGGAGCCACAGGTTAGCAAGGCAATGTGTTTTGTTAACCAAGCACAAGGGCATCTAGTTTACTGAAAGAAATCAACCCTAGGACTTGACAACATTGATCAAGCAGTGCGCAGCAACATTCATGGAGAAAAGACTGATGTTTGCTTTTACAAAGTTTGTTGAGCCTCCTTGTAATCATGGTATTTTACTTCCAGGGTGAACAAGGCAAAGAGCAACTTTCAGTCACATTGTTCAGTTAGCAATTACCAAGCCGTAGCCCTGAATAATTTTAGCTTGGGTTTTACAATCAAACCATTGCTAACTGGAAATAAGCCTACAGTACCACTAAATCAGGCACCATAAGCTACAATAGCTCCCAGTAATAGCTACTTACCTGACTCGCCATGACATCACCACTAGCAGCAGCTTTTCCAAGCCATCTCTTTGCCTTCTTAACATCTTTGATTTGCTCACAACTTCCGTTCAAATATATTTCTCCTAGCTTCAGTTGCGCCTCAGTATCGCCCAATTCAGCCGCTCTGGTCAAGTAATAAACAGCTTTGGTCGGTTGTGGTCGGCCCTCTGGGCAATCTCCATCAAGGTAATACTTGTACAAATGTGTCAAAGCCTTTTTCCTTGTTCCACCACCAAGCGCATTCTCCGTTGTTTTCATTGCTCCAGCAACAAGTCGACCAACTTCCCCCAGATCTGTAGATTCCTCAAATACACTTTCATCCGCGGCTTTTTTGTACCATTCAAATGCTTCTTTGATGTCTCTGTTTACAACTCCCTCGACCCCACAACGATACATTTCTGCTAAATTGAGCTGTGACTCGGCGCATCCTAACTTTGCTGCCCTGTGATACATCTCGTACGCCTTTCGCTGGTACTGGGGCGTTCCTTTCCCATCCAGCAATGCACCAAGTGTTGTGAGGATAAACGGATGAACATAACCATAATCTACAGCGGAATTTAACCATCCGATTGCCTTCTCCACGTCCTTCTCCACAAAATTCTCAACTCCTTCAGAGTAAGCTGTGCCGAGGTCTGCTTGGGCAGTGACATCACCATTCTTGGCCAAAGAGATTAAATTTTCGATTGAGCCATACGAATCTTTGTAATATTTTTCCACATTAACGCCAGCTTTAGGGTAAAAAGTCATGATAGCTCTCACGATAATATATAAAACTGAAAACGAAATGAAAATGGAGGGTCCTTGTTTATCCGCTGATAGGTATGATGGTGGGCTCGCTTGGTTAAAACTTCCCTCCCTACCCGACAAAAAAACTTGTAATTTCATCATGGGCACGTGCGTGCCTCGAAACGCGCGCTAACGCGACGCGCGCAGTTTGCGTCTACTAGGCTGAAAAGAACCCTGGGACAGGAATTGTCTGAAAGGAAAATGGCGGCCAGTGATCCGGGCGTTTCAGCCCAAAGAGGGTAAGTTGCTTTATTTAGACTGTGAATCTCTTGTTTCTGTTATCTGCAGCAAAGCTGAAGCGCTTTGGTTTTTCACTTCATGTGAAACTGGTCGCTATTAGAGAAACTGGAGAGAAAGGAAAGACCATTCGTTCTACGAGTGAGATTAAATTCAACTTGACCAGTTCAAACGATACATGTAATTTGTAAAACTAGGCTTACTCGCTTCAGCCTCCTAATGCTGTCTTTTAGTTCGCAGTATGTTAAAACCAACTGGTTTCATGCAGTCCAGATCATCAGCAGTAAGATCGGTTTTAATGTTATTTGGTTTGTTCGTTTTTTCTTCCTTCACCGATCTATGTGCATTTCTTATAGTTCTGAAAAATAAAATTGTGGTTTACATAGCGGTTAACAGTCTTAGGAGAATTAAATTTATAGCCCTTTAGTATCCTGTAGACTGCAAAGCGGACTACAGAGAGGTTGAATTTGCTTAGGCGAATTAATTGGATTTCGACAAAGCTCTCAAAACGATGTATTTTTTTAGCACACACGCTGTACATGTATTATTGCAAGAAATGTTTTGTGATCATGGAAGTACACAGCAGTACAGGAACACTGCTATTAGTACATGTAACTGCTTCATTCTCCAGCTTTACATGCTTTTTATTTCAGTCAGCAGGGTGCAAAAACGTCTCTTTTATTCATTGTTTTGTTTTGTCTCTTTGTTTGTCCTTTAGGAATGAAGTAATCTTAGATCTACAAAAGTTTCAAATTCAGCCCATGGATACAGTCAATCCTGACCAGCTGCAGCTGTTAATTTTGTCAGCTAGCTCTGACACCAGCATTGAAAGGACACCCTGTGAATCTGAAAATGTGTCAGCAATTGAAGTTGAGACCGTGATGATGGCTGAAGATGCGGGCATACTTGTTCCAGGTGATAGCACACCCTTGTTAAAGACTGTTCATGACAACAGTTCATCCAAGAAAGACTCCGCAGGTGACAAGCAGTTTAAATGTCTCCAGTGCAACAAATCCTTTTCAGGGCCATCAAGTCTTAGTCGGCATATTAAAACCCACAGCAACGAGAAGCCTTTTGAGTGTGTTCAATGCAAAAAAGTGTTTTCCCGACTGTCGAGTTTAAAGAGGCATGAAAGTTCTCATTCAGATGAAAAACCATTTAAATGCCAAGTATGTGGCTGGAGTTTTATACAGAACTCAGATCTGAAAATCCACGAAAGAACTCACACAGGTGAAAAACCATTTCCGTGTGATCGCTGTGAACGAGCATTTGGATGCAAGAAGCGGCTAAGGGCTCACTACAGGATGCACACAGGAGAGAAGCCATACAAATGTCCACAGTGTGAAAAGTGCTTTTCAATGAGAAAAAATGTCATCCAGCACATTCGAATACACACTGGTGAAAGACCATTCATGTGTGAAGTGTGCAAGAAGACATACCGTCATCAGCACACGCTTAAGAAGCACATGCGACTTCACACAGCTAGACCAGATTTTACCTCATCAAGGTTAGTATA